AAAATTCAAAAATTTTGTGCATTAAATTTTGCAAGTTTTTTGAAATTTTTCGAAAATGATTTCAAAATTTTCAGAAATTTTTTTTTTCCCTACTCACAAAACTGCAACATTTTTTCAGGTGAACAGCATGTCCCAAAATAATTTCAAATTCCAAATAACATTTTTCAACTTAAATTGAATGCTACTTATTTTCAAAAATTACTCCTACTTTTATGCCCAAACGCCTACTTAATCGAGATGCGCACTACCTGACCAGTATACCATACAACAGCAACAACAACAACAACAATAACAAAAAACTTAGTGTAATCTCACAAGTGGGGTCAGGGGAGGGTAGTGTAGGCAGACCTTACCCCTACCTATAGGAAGGCAGAAGACTGGTGCGGGAGGGCCCAAGGAGAGGTAGATATAGGCCGAACAAATACTGGGAAAAGGTGATTAGGCAAGACATAGCCATTAGCGGAGCTAGAGTGTGAGGAGCGGGTTCAGCAGAACCTAGTAGCTTTGATCTGAACCTTGTATTTATCTTTAAAAAATCCATTAAATATGTATATGTTATTAATTTAGAACCAGTAACTTAAAACGATAAGAATCTCTAACCCATAAACTTGAAATCCTGGCTCCGCCTCTAAACATGGCGATGCTCCAGCTTACTGAAGACATGACCTTAGATAGGAAGGTGTGGAGGTTGAGAAAATATATTTGAAAAGATTATAATAAAATTAGGCACATATATCTTGTGTGACTATAAATCATTGCATAAAGATAAAATTATTTTCAAATATGGAAATTGGTCATTCTCCTTGCCACGGACTCAAAACAAAAATAGGTACACATAAATTGGAACGGAGGGAGTATAAAGTATGTCAACTCAAAACATCAACTCAGCTATTTTATTTATTGTGCATTTAGCAAAAACCTCAAGACAGCGAATGCTATAGATTCAACTAGAACATAGCTAGGGGCTACAATTTACAATAGACTAGGATAATCTTTTTGATAAAGTAGGCTAGGAAGGTCTTTTGACTTGCCTCTTCTTCTGTTTTATCTTGCTCGGCCTCTTCGCTTTCATTCTTGACATGCATATCAATCTATGGAAGGAAGATACAATGTGAAATATTCTTTTAGTTTTACCCTTTAAGAACTTCTTCCTCCCACCTCTCAGCTCCTTCTTGCATAATTCAGATGACTCTTCACAAGTCTCTCCACCAAAATAATCTGTCCGTTTGTCATGTAAAACAAGGCTCTCTTTGTAAGTATTAACATAAAGTGCATTCGCAAATGGTTCACAATTCATTTTTTTAACTTCAAGATCATACGAAACCGAGAATGGGTGGTACATCGTCCACAAAATTTCTCCATTTTTCCTTGAAGCCATTGGCTGAAACAAGTAATGAGAAACCTGATGCTCATCTGGAACGTAACAGAGTCACCATAAAGCATCGAGAAAAATTCATCGGCAACAACGCTGAATTTTAATGCCTCGATAGATGCTGTATTGTTTCACCCATGATTTCGGGTCACCATACCTTTTCATAATCCAAATATCAATTGTTGTGTCGCCATCTACCAAACCATGAGCCAAACAAAGTGACACCTGTGATTCAAAAAGGCAAAACTCAATAACATAAATCCAAGGCTTTTCAACTAAACTAGCAGGTAACATTATCTCCTGGAACATCTCATCGTGCATGTCAAATAGGACAATCACATGCTTACACTTTCCTTCGCTTTTATGTGCTCCTTTCCCTTTAGAGGCAACCCAATGGCAAGCCCCATTAACATAAACCCCTGCTGGTACCCGCGGAAATATATCATGAAAAGGAGCAACACGAGTAATGTCTTGCCAAACACTGGTGCTTAACTTATAAAGCTCAACATTAGGTGATGCCAATTTAATATTGTTGCCGGAAAATCTAGTCCCTCCATTTCCGGCGTCTCTCGGAATGAAGAAGGAGAAGGAGAAGGAAAGATATCCTAAACTATGTGGAAGACAGACTTAGGTCGGAATTTGCTTCTATGTCATTAAGAGATATTAGTTTGATTAATTGTTTAGTGAAGCAAGATGTGGACACGTTGCTCTCATCCAACAGTTAGTAAAAGGACCACCTGTTAGTATCTAGAAGGTTGTAGTGAGGGTATGGGTGTAATAGCACTTTGTAAATATTTTCTTTATTTAGGAGCTAGTTACAAAAGTTGTTAGGATAGAATTCCCTATGGCCTCGTGAATGACATCTGGGAAATTGTATTTATATATACACAAGCATATACTGTAGATACACACACAGAAATGAATACAAGAAATTTCTTATGCATTACACTTTGATTTCCTTCATGGTATCAGAAGCTTTAAGCTCACCATTCGACATTTTTCTTCAGCTATCTTTTTTATCTAGTTTCTTCTTCTTCTTTTTTTTTGAGTTGCAACAAAAAAAAAATGGGCGAAGAACAACCACCCAAAACTGCTTCAGCACAAATCGATGTCTCCCACCCTTATTTCCTCTCCTCCTCTGATTCCCCAGGAATGAACCTCATAAACACCATTTTTGATGGTACAAGCTACGTCAATTGGAGAAGGGGAGTCCTGATTCTTTATCGGCCATAAACAAACTTGGGTTTATCAATGGGACTTGTCCCATACCTGCAAAAGATACAAATCTGTTAGTTCTTTGACAGAGATGCAACAACATGGTGTTGTCATGGCTGCTTAACTCCCTAAGTAAGGATATAGCAGAAAGTGTTATTTACTCACAAACAGCATCTGAGCTGTGGAATGAGCTTGAAGAAACGTATGGACAGGCTGATGGGACCAAGTTATTCCAACTACAGAGGGAACTAAACAACATTACTCAAGGATCCTATGATGTAGCAGGCTATTTCAACAAGTTGAAGAAAATCTGGGATCAGATGAAAGAATTAAACACCTACATGACCTGCAGCTGTGAGTGTAAATATGGAGCTAAAGAACATAATCATAAGGTGAATGAGGATCAAAAACTGATCCAATTCCTAATGGGACTAAGTAAAGCATACAATGGAGCAAGAGGAAATATACTCATGATGAAGCCTCTACCTACAGCAGCCCAGGCATACTCTATAGTACTACATGAAGAGTCTCAAAGGCGAGTACATTCTAGCAATCAGTTGCCTATTGATGCATCAGCTTTTCTTATGCAAGGGCAAAAATGGACGTCACAGAAGAAAGTTTTTGAGTCCAAAGGTGGAAATCAGATTGTTCAGGTAGATGGAAAGAAGAGTGATCTCTTTTGCAGGTACTGCAAAAAGTCAGGACATCTCAAGGAAGACTGCTACAAACTAGTGGGATATCCACAACACTTCAAATTTACCAATGGCAGACAGAAGAAGGGGAACCCAACAAATCAATATGCAAATGTTGTCAATTCAGAAGAGTTGCTTACCTCTGGAAATGCAGGAAATAATCTGAACACTCTTATAAGCAACCAAACTTTCACCAAGGAGCAGTGTGAGAAACTGGTGCTGCTCTTCCAGTCTATGCAGGGAGGATGTCCTAGCGCTTCAATTTTCGAGCCCAGTGCAAGTGCGGACCTGGCTGGTACAGTTACTGCTTGCCAACTCTTTACCTCACTCTTTACCACTTATCAGACCAGGGACAATGGGCATGTATATGCCTCTTTTTTCTCTAAGCCGACTAATCACACCTGGATCATTGACTCTGGAGCAACCCAACACATGACATTTGACAAATCACTCATGCACAATATTAAAAAACTTAGTCTCCCAGTATTGGTTACCTTGCCTAACTCATATAAAGTAAAACTCTATTGTGTTGGAAGTCTTTACTTAAGCCCTGTCCTTGAATTGCATAATGTTCTTTTTGTGCCTTCTTTTAAACACAATTTGTTGTCAGTTTATAAACTTTGTGATCGGTTTGATTGTTTACTAATTTTCTCCAAACTTGGTTATGCTATACAGGTCCCTTCATTGAAGAGGGATCTAGTTTTTGGTGATGCCAATGCAGGGCTCTATGTGCTAAGAGAGAACATTTCACAGCAGAATTCTACATCCTACAATCAGCATGTTTCAGTTCCTTTGAAGAATAATCTAGTGTCTAGTCCAGTTTCTAGTATTCAGTCAAATGTTAGGTCTTCTGTTCAGAGTCATGTTGAGTGTCCTAAGTCTGTTTCTTCAAGGCCTTTGAGCCATAGTTCTTTGAGTCATGTTTGTTATGAATTTTCAAATATCAATGAAAATGTTTCTGTTCATAATGTTGTTGCCACTGAGAAATTATGGCATTGCAGATTAGGTCACTTACCATATAATGCAATGAGAACTATTAAAGTACTGCCTATTACTTTCTCCGATAAAGAAGCATTCCCTTGTGATATATGCCCTTTGGCAAGACAATCCAAGCTCTCTTTTCCTATAAGTTCTATCACCACTAAACAGTGTTTTGATCTTATACATATAGACACCTGGGGACCTTATAAAGTACCTACATACAAAGGAGAACGATATTTTCTAACCATAGTGGATGATTTTTCACGAAGTACTTGGACATTTCTACTCAGTTCTAAGGCTAACTCCTTTCCCACTTTAAAATCCTTTTCGGTCTTTACTGAGAGACAGTTTAGTGCTAAAGTGAAGGTCATAAGATCAGACAACACATTTGGACTGGGTACAGGGAACATTCCCAAAGATTTTTTTTCCTCCCAAGGTATACTACATCAAACAACATGTGTCACTAAACTCCAGCAGAATGGGGTAGCTGAAAGAAAACATCGGCACCTCTTGGAAACTTGTAGGGCCCTTTTGTTCCAATCTCAGGCACCTAAGAAATTTTTGGAAGATTATCTTCTAACAGCTACACACTTGATCAATCGATTTCCCTCCAGAGTATTGCAGAATAAAACACCATATCATGTTCTTTTTGGTACTCACCCTGATTACTCTTACCTTAGACCTTTTGGTTGTCTATGTTTTTGTTCTACTCTAGCAAGAAACAGGGACAAACTTGCACCTAGAGCTGTTCCCGGGGGTATTTTTATGCTATCCTTTTGGAAAGAAAGGGTATAAGGTTCTTAATTTGCAAACAAATCAAGTATTTGTGTCTAGGGATGTTAAGTTCTTTGAATCAATCTTTCCCTTTTCTTATTCTGCACCTATGATTAAGTTATTTCCTGCTTCTTTCCCTCAGTTAAATGAGTCAGCTCCCCCAGCTCAAGACACTACATCTTTTCCAACCACTTGCTCTATACCTGAATCTTCTTCTCCTATTCTCTCTTTTACTCCTGTCAGGTCTTCTACTACTTCTTCTAGTTCTAGTAGAGGATCCCCTGTGGTTCTCCAGTTCCCTTCTCTAGTGCTCATTCCACCCCCGATATGTTCTCTCCAGCACCAGGGTAGGTATTGTGCAGATCTCAAAGGGTTCACAATGCTCCTAAATATTTGTCTGATTATATTTGTCATTCTGTTTTTTCAGTTATTTCCCCTGCTTCCCCTTTTCATCCATTACATTCATTTTCTTTTTCTGCTTTATCCCAAGTGAACAAAGCCCTAGTCAATTCTATTTTCCAAATACATGAGCCTAAATCTTACCGACAAGCAGTACTGCACCCTGGTTGGCAAGCTGCCATGGCAAAAGAATTTGAAGCGCTGGAGTCCAAACGCACATGGGATGTTGTTGAATTACCTCAGGGGAGGAAGGCCTTACCTTGCAAATAGGTATACAAGGCAAAACTCAAATCAGATGGTACACTAGAAAGATTGAAAGCAAGGCTTGTCATTTGAGGAGATACACAGAGAGAGTGTTTAGACTATACCGAGACTTTTTCGCCAGTAGTTAAAATGACAACTATCCGCTGCCTCCTTTGCATTGCAGTTAAGCGGAATTGGAAACTTTATCAGCTCGATGTGAATAATGCTTTTCTCCATGGCGATTTAGCTGAGGAAGTCTATATGCAATTTCCTCCGGGGATGACATCATCTTCAGCTTCCATGGTTTGTCGTCTCCGCAAGTCCTTGTATGGACTGAAACATGCTTTTCGTCAGTGGTACGCACGTCTCTGTTGTGCATTGGGTACCAGGGGTTTTGTCTCTTCACTCAACAATTATTCTCTTTTCTTTAAAGCTTCCCGGGATCTTATTACTATTCTTGCCGTCTATGTTGACGACATCTTGATTACTGACAACAACTTGCGGGAAATTAATGAAAACATTTTTTGGACTGTGAATTCAAGATTAAGGACCTAGGTGAAGCTCACTAGTTTTTGGGTCTGGAGCTTCTTCGTGAAAATTATGGACTGGTAGTCACACAACGCAAATTTGCAGCAGATTTACTTATTGAGTTTGAGAGTTTGGATGTCTTACGAACTGACCTCTCCTGCTGATGCAGCCGTCGCCGTGTACCCTAACGCGGTCAGGGACCTCTCGGGCTGGGTCAACCAACTTGATTTGGTTTGCCCATACGTTGAGCGCGTGTGGCGCGATCTGTCCCAGGCTCGATGGGAAGCCAAGGACCACGGTGAGCCTTTACTTCTGCTGCAATTGTATCTCTAAACAGAACTGCTGCTGGTAGCTTCCTCACCCCCTGTGTTAATATTTTGTATTTGTGCAGGTCTGGGGGAGGTCCCCCTGATGAGGGAAGCACAGTTTGGTGACGCGAATACCCCGAGACCCGACGAAGAGAAGAAAAGACAGAGGGAATCATCGACTGAGCCTTCGAAATCCAAGAAAGCCAAAGTGGGGGAACCTAAGGCTGATTCAGTAGCATTAACCCCAGGAGTAGCGGGGAGTCCCCCAACTGAAGGCGAGGAGAAGGATGATTCCTCGATAGCATCCGAGGGAGGGGAAAACCTGATCGCTCCTTATACCGCAGAGACAGTGGTTCCCAAGTCGGAACTTGGTGCTGTCGTTGTCCAACCTCGGGTTGAAGAGGCCTTCGAGGATGCACTGGGTAATGTCCTTGAGCCGGTGGGCGGCCAAATATTCCTCAAGCTGAGGCGCATTTGGTAGGCGGTCCGGAGGAACCTAGTTCTGAAGCCCATCAGAAACAAGAGACGACCCCGACAGATCCCGTCGGTGTTATTGACGTGAGCGATTCTCCTCCGGGACCGACTTTACCTCCTAAGGAAATGCAGGATGCCCAGAATGAAGATCCTTCTGATGTGGGGGTGCCAATTGGAGATAAAGATGCGTTTGAAAGGCCTTTAGCTGCGCCCGAGAAAATGCCTAAGCTTGATGCCCAACTCATTTTCAGTGAGATGGACAAGCTCTGTGAGCAGGTAATTTTTGTAAATTCTGCTTGTCGTCCTGATCTCCGTCTTTCTAACTTTCCTCTTTTATGGTTCCAGGCCAGGGCGCTTTATAATCAGACCTTCGCCCGATTTCAAGCTGAGGTGACCCGCTACGAGCATGAGAAGACTCATCTCGCTGAGCAGGTTACGTAGTTTCCGCTTGCTTTAGTCCGGGAGTTTACTAGATCTCAGCATTTTGACATCTTTGATCTGATTTGCGCAGTTTGAGAAGAAAGATGCCCTAATGAGGGAGGAGCTCCGAGCCAGAGACTCCGAAATTCTCGAACTCAAATGGCACGTGAGTGAGATAGCTTCCGAGAGGGATATCCTTCAGGAAAAAATGGCCTTCGTCGGGCATCAGCTTCACGATGCGAGGGTGAGGGGTAGTAAGTATAGATGTCTTCATACTGAGTTAGTTGTTGCGCTATCCGGGATCAAAGCTGAAGCCGAGACGCTCATATCCTTACACAAAGAGGTTGTTGTTGTTACAAATGCTCAAGACAGGACAGTGCCCGAGGGAGCCGAACTGAAATTGACTCAAGCCATGGAACATGCTCAGTTAGAATCTCGGAGGCGGGCTCTCGAGGATATACATACGGGGGGCATTAATCTTTCCGCCGAGCTCGAGAGGGTGAAGGCTCTAGAGGAGAAAGCTGCTGCCCTGCTTGATTCTGAAGGTGTGTCGAGCAGTGGCTCTGGAGATGATGAGGAGAAGGTGGAATCCCCATAGGAAAAGAGGCCGTTGAAGAACCTGGGACTGTAGCCGCAATTGTTGGGACACAACTTCCGAGGGAGCCGTTGAAGGCATAGACCTGATGGTAGATTAGGGTTTTATTTGATCTTTCCCTTGTAAAGGGCTTTATAGGCCTCGTAAACGTACCCTTGTGAGAAATATATATAGAATCAGTTCTCGTTTTTCTTCCGGTTTTTAGGAGTAATCTGCGATGTTTTTGACAATTGGTCCGAGATTTTTGGATCTCGGGTTAGACCCTTGGGCTTTCGCTATTGCCGAGCGATTCGTAATGGTCAAAGGTCGACCGTTCGTGGCCTAGTCCCCGAGTCGGGTTCTTGACTCAGGTTTACCGACCTTTAGGTCTAGAAACTAGTCCTGAGATTTTTTGGGCCGGCTATTGGGTTGCTGTGACTTACATCGGCCCTGAGGTCTCTTAGGCTGGCGACAATGGTTCTTACGCGTTGGGTCAGTACGACCTTTTAGTGTAGGTTGGCGACAATGGCTCTTATGCGTTTGCCCTTAGGAGTTTTTTAGTTAACTGTTTCGGGCTCAATCTCCGAGTCGGATTTCGCCTCGAGCTTATTGACCCTCAAGTTTTGAATTTCAAGTCGTCCCTTAGGCTCTTACGCATTGGTTCGGTACGACCTTTATTGTGGGCTTTATTTTTCCCTCGTTAAGGACTTTTGAATTTTTTTATGTTCGCCCGACTCTTTGACAGTTCGATTTTAGGGGTCTTACAAGTTCGGATATATATAGCCTTAACTTTTAAGATCGGGATTATGCCTTTTGTAAGGTCTTACAAATTTTATCATGCCTTACTTGAGGTCTTAAAGATTTGGTTACTTGGTACAAGTATAATTCACGCCTTGCTCGAGGTCTTACAGTTCTGGTGTTGCCTTATAATGATCATATATTGTTGATAATGCCTCGTGGAGGTCTTACATTTTCTAGTATTGCCGTATGGAGGGCTTTCGGGCTCGAGGTCGCCCGGTTGGGGTCTTACGGCCTTGAGTTTCTGATAGTTCGATGGGGTGAT